CTCTTTTAACCTTGTATTGAAAGTTCCTGTTAACAGCCAGACGCAAGTTCAACACTTGGAATCACCTTTGGATTTTGTTTTCATATTTTAATTTAGAGTTGATTTTAATTTTGTCATGAAATAATGAAGGAATCGGTCTCACCTGGCCATGAAGCTACTTATCAGTCAACTGTCCGATTCCTTTCAAGCCTCAGAGGCCTGTTTATAAAAACAGATGTAATTTTTAAACCGTCAGTGAAATACTTTTGTTAAACCTTATTAATTAAAGCTGAAAGTCTGCATTTTACTGCCCTATTTGAAATAAAATCCACAGTGGTGTTGCATACAATAGCAATAAAATGTAGAAAAAAGTGTCATTGCCCCAAAACTTATAAACCTAACTGTGTGTTGAAAATGTTTTTGTGTATCTATGTTTGTCCAGGAATGTCATAGGAATTGAGTTTTAGTAAAATAAATAATAAATTATGAATGAATATAAACAACAGGGCAATTATTGTAATAAAGGTTGTTAAGCAGCAGTGTAACTGTCATGATTGGCTGTGTGGCAGGCGAGCAAGCAGGAGTGGTGGACCCAAAATGCAGAACTCAGACACGGAAGTGAAACTTAAAGCGTAGCTTTAAAACAGGAAAACAGGAGGGAGACACAGCTGGGAGGGTTTGGGCTAACGACACACGGGGAGCAAAGCTAGACACACTGAGATGAGGCACAACCTTTCACAATAAAACGGGAAACAAGAAACAAACAGACTTGACACTGTACTGAACTTATACTAAACGAGAGACACAACCTAAGAACTAATCCTTCACAAAGAAGAACTGAAACATAGAATAATACTAATAAACAAAGCATGACAAAAGGATCAGAATACAAACCATAATACAAAGGAATATAAGAACTGAAAATGCTGGGTCAAAATGACCCAGGACCGTGACAGTAACAGTACGATAGATAGATAGATAGATAGATAGATAGATAGATAGATAGATAGATAGATAGATAGATAGATAGAATTTATTTATTTATTTTAAAGACCATTTTAATGTTTAGTTTTTAGCTTCATCCTCTGTCATGTTTACGTTGGAGCAAAATTGGGTTTATTTACCCCAAAAGTGCAAAAATAAGTCGCACAATAGTCAATGGATAATACAGGGCCCAGGAACAGGAACATAAAAATAACTCCAACCAACAAAACCAAAAGCTGACCAATCAAACGAGACACAAGGAGGAACAACCACTAACAAATTATACAACAACAAACAGTTACTTCAATTTAACAGTCATCAGACACAAAACTAACCAAATACTGAACTCAGAGAAACTAAAAGAAAACTTATTCAACCCTTAGATAATTCTGGGAACATTTCGTGCCACTCAGGGTTTTTTTTTTTTTTTAAATTTTCATGCTATTTTGGCTGCCCAGAATGAATAAAGCTCATATTTGCCAGAGGATAACTGCTCTCTCAGTTCCTGAAATTAGCTTAAAATGGTTAAGCAACACAAAATTCTAAGCATCCAATATATACCTGCACACCATGCTACCAACTATGACGAAGAGCTGGCAGCTTTAAAATACATAATGATTTAAAGTAGAAGAAATTATTACTACACAGTATTTTTGCAGCAGTTTTTGGGAACCTGCCATTTTTGGTCGTTAGGATCAGGAGTGTCAGTTTGTTTGTTTGTTTGTTTTAAAGAAAAAATAAATCAATGCTGTTACCAATTATTGACTGTGGAGCTATGTAAACATACTGGCCTTTAAACTATGGGTCTTTTAAAATGGAAAAAAATTACCATATTTTTACAGCAGTTTTTGGAAGGTGGCATTTTTTTCCTTAGGGCAAAAAGAGTCCAGATTTTTAAGGGTCATTTAAGGGTCAAGCTAAATTACATATTCCTTTGATGATTTCTGATTATAGACAGTCATCAGAAAATCTAGGGGTAACCCAGGAGTGTGCTAAATTTGCGAAATCCTGCTTCCTCCTTCCTTGGTTTACCCTTGTCTCTGTGTCCTGAATCCAAACTGTAAGCAGGTTCCACAGAAGAGGCGCCTGAAAGCTACCTCCCGCTCAACCTTTAAATATCCTAGAAGACACCAGTAAACCAGCAGTTTGAGAGTGAAGGGCTCTATTGGGTCATTAATTTAATATGAGGCCTGATTATTCAAGACCTTGTATGTGAGGAAAGGGAGTTTAGATTCGATTCTGGATTTAACAGGGAGCCAATGAAGAGAGCTGGAGAAAAAAATATTGGCAAAATATGTTCGTTCTTTATGCAGCATTTTGGATCACCTGAGGGCTTTTGGGGGAGTTTTTAGGACCGCCTGATAATAATGAATTACAGTAGTCCAGCCTAGAAGTGATAAATGCATGAACTAGTTTTTCAAAATCACTCTGAGACAGGATAATTCAAACTTTAGAGATATTGCGCGAATGGAAGAAAGCAGTCCTACATATTTGTTTAATATGTGCATTGAAGGACATATCCTGGTCAAAAATGACTCCAAGGTTCCTCACAGCGTTACTGGAGGCCAAGGTAATGCCATCCAGAGTACACATGTGATTAGATGCCGTATTTCTACAATTTTCAAGGCCGAGTACAATATTTGAATTTACAAGCAGGAAATTAGAGGTCATCCAGGTCTTTATGTCTTTAAGATATTTCTGCAGTTTAACTGATTGGTGTGTGTTCACCAATGGCTTCATAGATATAAAAGCAGGGTATTATCTGCATAGCAATGAAAATGTATGCAATGCCTTCAAATGATACTGCCTAAGGGAAACATGTATAATCAGAATTGGTCCTTGCATGGAACCCTGTGGAACCCCATAATTAACTTAGTGTGTGAAGAAGTCTCTCAATTTACATGAACAAACTCTATTGGATGGATATGATTCAAACCACTGCAGTGCAGTACCTGTAATACACACAGCATGCTCTAATCACTTTAATAGAATATTATGGTCGACAGTATCGAACGCTGCACTGAGGTCTAGCAGGACAAGCACAGAGATGAGTCCACTGTCAGAGGCCATAAGAAGATAATTTGTATCTTTCACTACAGCTGTTTCTGTGCTGTGATGAGCTCTGAAACCTCAGTGAAACTCAGTAAAAGCAGTCCTCTGCAGATTATCAGTTAGCTGTTTTACGACTACTGTTATAAGAATTTTTTAGATACAAGGAAGGTTGGAGATCGGCCTATAATCACTGAGGTTAAGATCAGAGACTGTAAATCACAAATGAAAAATTAAGGTTTAACCTTAAAAGGATTGGACTTGTACATGACAATGACCAATTTATTACATGAACTTAAACTTAACTAACTTGATATATATTACCTATAATTAACAATGAATTATTAATTAATCATGTTTCACAATTTTTAACCAATTGTTTGCCTGAAATAGTTTTATAGAATAAAATATAAGAGGCAAGAGAAAAACTGGAAAGATTATACCTGACACACTGAATTAAATTTACCCACATTTTATAGAGATAGCAGTGCCATGTACTTCATTCATACATGTAGATTTCCAGGGAAATTCTCTTTTAAAAGTCATATATAAAATGTAGCAACCAGCCAGTATTGCTGGTTCAGCTGTGATGAGTACAGAGCACTGTGTCCCTTTTTTTCTTTAGTTTTTAAGTTTTTTTTTTTCATATTATGTTTTGCATTTTACTATATTAAATTATATGCTTATTGTGCTTGTTTATATTCATAGTAGGGCTGCATGATTTCGCATAAAATGAGAATCACGATTTTTTTGCTTAGAATTGGGATCACGATTCTCTCATGATTTTCTTTTCCAATATAAATATTTCTTGCATTTATTAACTG